TGGTAAATAAAACAAGCATGTGCAGTCTAGTTTATGTGATTTGTTTTCACTAATTTTTAGCAGAAACAGCGATGGCTGACAGTGACAACAAAGAGCATATCACGGTTGCATTTCTGAAATACACACGACCAAGGCTAGAAAAGGGGATGAACTTCTATCCCCTCTAGACCTACCATACTCTTATTAAAAAGTTTTGGGTAGCAGCACCAGCAGTAGTACCAGGCCACATTGCAGATTCACATGCATAGTGCGTAATTTACAAGCAGCTTTAAGCCCTTCAGCTCTTTGTCTTAGTGGCATCTCTTTTTGTGTCTTCCATAACAACTTTCACTGTTACTCATTCCAGAATTCTGCTGGAAAGTACTAATTGTAATTTAGTTAATATAACAAAAATGGCGTTGTGTATGGCCAGTATTTCGAAATTTTTTATCACTATGGTATGTCTATCACACACACAATGATTTTGTAAGAACAGCTTTAGAAACATTGTTATGGGCTAAATCGTTCCCAGGAAAAGCTAGAAAGGCTGATATGCTGTTCAATAAGAAAAAAGGTATGAGTACAGTGTGGAAGCATGCTTTTGTGCGCTTGCCATACATGGATGAGCCTAAAATCCCAAAACAGAAAAGAGACATTATTGAAGTCTTGTCTTGGAAAATAGACCATTCACTGTCCCAGCATTGATGCTCATGCAAATGATTTTAAAGATGTCATTGTTGACACTTTTCCGAAACTGTGACATGGGGGTGGCTACAAGTTTTACAAAGAGTTGGGTTTCAGAACCATTATTGGAGACGGTCCTGTCATTTCCCAAGGTTTAATAAGAGAGAGTAGAACGACTAATAGGACATATATGAAACCCATGCAAAGGGATCTTGATCTATGAGAAGTCTATAGCCTTCCTAAAGTTGTACATATTACTTTTTGTGAGGCGGTGTAACTTTTTGTAGCTGGTACAGAAATGTCTTACTTGTGATATTGAAGTATCTATGGGGGAATTAGCAGAGCATATAAAACTCATGGAAATAAGTAAGTCATTCTTTTTTCTTCTCCATTATTATTGTTGTTATTATTGTTATTATTTTACATCTAATTGAATTGATTCAATAAATAGAAAATTAAAGCATAAGTAAGTCGTTTATTTTTGTTTTAACTGAAATTATTTCAGAGAACAATTTAGTGACTCTGAGGAATCAAGTGATGTAAGACTTGTCAATTTCTTTCATTGAATTAATTTAATTTTACTTAGGATATTATTCTCCCTAAAGTTGTGTTTCCCCGTCGTAGAGGGAAGGGAGTGAAGTAAATTTTTAAACTTATTTTTGTACTTATTATTTGCATGTAGGCCACCTTTGCTTGACCGGACTAATATTATTGAACTTGAAGAAGATGAAGCTATATTTATTGGTGTTTATAATTTTAAAAATTGATAATTTTTAGGAGCACAGTCGTTTTAGTGTGATTTCACACATGATACATTTGAATTAAGTGCAATTGGACAGCACATGATACAAAGAGCTATGGAACAGAGCATTGAACTTGTTGCAGAACCTTTTGATTCAGAACGGTAGATGATGCATTGTTTATTTCTGGATACCTTGCAGTGCTGCAGATACCCCATTATACAAAGGACTGAACTTATTGCAGTCGTTTGAGTCATGATGATTGTAGAACTCTCAGTATTGGCATTTGTAGGGACTATGTACTTGAGGATGTTGTGTGCAAAATGGGATCTGGTGCTAAAATTTACAGTAAGTACATGTACTTCATAATTAAAGCCATAGTTTGACTGTGTTTAATAGGTTCACTTTATTTGGGAAGGTTGAATTTTTCAAGGCTGTCCAAAGAGAGAGCTCTTCAGACTTTTCTGTAATCAAGCTGCTGATCAATACTTAAAGGGACCATCAGATTATAAATTCCTTATGTTTGATGTAGTGTCCCTGTTGGTAGCCATAAATGTGTCTGTTAACTGTATATATAACAATATTTAGAGTAGGGAGTTTTAAAAAATTGGAGTTTTTACAGTTTCATACACTATTAAAAATGGATCAGGAGCCCCTCTTTTTGAACCAGCAGTATATGAACTGGGAATATGCATGTAGAAGAGGTCCCTGGCAATTTGGAACAATCTTAAAAACAGTTTGTTGATGGAGTAAGTACTTTTAAGGGTATACCAATTTTTAAAGATTTTGGAAACTGTCTAGTTATTGTCAGCTTAGTCAATGATGACATACAGTCATGCCTGACTGATAATAGTCAAAACCTCTTATTTGCCACAGGATATAGGAAACCACTTATACAGTTGACATTGGATGATGTGCGAAGTATTGTCAACATACTCTTAGTAAAGGTCGAGGCATTAATGGACAAGTACATGGAATGTCTGAAGACTGCTCATTTTGTTGATGATTTACGAAAGATCCATTCTATGGAAGACTTTATTTATGAGAGCATCCATTAACACCTGGTATAGGAGATATAATATTCATTAGTAATAATTGATTTACAGAATATATCCAGTCTTTATTTAGTGTAAACTTCTATAAAAGGGGAAGTGAAGTAACTTAGAGCAGTGGAAGAGCAAGCATTTTTGTATTTTAGTGACCTACTAAAAGAATGTGAAGTATTGAAAAGTATGTCACTTCCATTTACTGCTAATTTTCTTACATAGCTAATGAAGTCGATTCAAAGTTAGAAGACGGTCTGATATTTTGTTCAGGTACTGATCAGGCCCCACCTATCGCAACTTCCTCTTCTGCATCACACAAATTTCTCTACCATTTGTGGGAAGTGCTGCTGACTCTATTCACATTCAATATTGAGCTACGGATTCCAACATCACTCAGATGTATTTTTTTGTGACAACATGTTGAGTGGAATTAAAGGCAATGATAGATTCTGTGAAGTGTAGGCTCTGCATTGTTATTAACTGCATCTTTACTCATTTGTGACCCGATATGAGAAAACCAGGCTATCTGCGGGAATTATCATTTTGAGCTATGGGCTCATAATCACGACAAATATTTACCTGGGCGAAATTCATTTTATCACATAAACATGTTATATAAACAAAATCCTTTCATTTGATACCAAAATCAGGGGTAGCGAAGCCTTCTTTGCCGAGTTATAAGCCCTTCGACATTTTTACCTTGATTGTGCACGGAGAATGTTACACGGAGCGACCACGGAATCAAAACGGAGGGCTTTAATGTGTCATTACGTAACCATGGAGTCTCTATAGGAACTATTTAAAGTATAACAAAGACAAAGAAGACTACTTTTAAAACTATGGCTACAAAAAGAGACATTGCTCGCTTGTTACATGTGACCATAATTGACTAAAGGTACCTTATGGCGGATTTTAAAATCCATCATTACAATGAAAAATATCATCCTGTGAGTCCACTATTGGACAAGCATTGTTTCTATAAGTTACATAGTAACTTTTTGCATCCTGTGGAGTAATTTTATGATAAATGGAGCTCAGGAAGTTGAATTTTTTAGGCTATAAAGTCAAATTTCACTACCTGCCATAAGGTACCTTTTGTCAATTATGGTCACAAATGAAGAAATAGGTCCTCGAGACAGTGACTACATTGCTTCAGTTCTTGGGGACTACTTTTGTGATGAAACTAGTGGTAAGCTTATTCATAACACTGTTTACATACTAACTGTGAATAGCGGTTAGCTATCACAACAATAACATTCCATGACCTGTATAAATGCATAATATTACTATATTAAACTTAGTTATACAGTTAATTGATAGAGACAGACTATGAAGCAGTAGAAGATATGGAAGGAGAGGTAGAGGAAGGGAAAGAAGAAGAGAATGAGACAAAAGATTGTGATGAAGATATTACTTCACCACTGTTTGATCCTGAGGTGGCTGTGGAGCTACAAGTATCAGATCTTGATTTAGAATCAGCGACGCCTGACGCTCCAGCTACTTCAACTACTCACTCTTGTGATGACATGAGGAAGGAAGACCTACAAGAGGAAGAAGATTTATCAAAGTTCTTTGAACATGGATGTGGTTGCTCAGATAATTGCTATGCACTGTTCAGTCACTCTTACATAAAAACATATAGATGTGACGTACAAGCCATAGCAAAGCCTGTTCAAGAAATTGCTATTATGAGTCAAATTGCAGCAACATCAACCATGGGGGGATTGTCGACTGGCAACCACAGGAGACAGAAAGAGAGAAAGAGGCAATTTTTTACTTTCATGCATCAAGGTCATAAGGTTTGTAATTATGAGTAACACAACACAAAATTAATTGTTTTTCAACTAGATATGTAGAATAACATTTCTGAAGCTACATGCAGCAGGTTTGAGGAAATCATGAAAAACTACAGAATGAATAGATTAATACCAAGGTATGAGACTGACAAATTAAATGTTATGTACTTAACTTCATTAGAGTTCACGGAAATGTTGGAAAGACACCAAACCATGCTTTGACTTATGATGATATTCTCTGGGTTGTTGCTTTCATCAGAAATTACGCTGAAGTCCATGGTATCAGTCTTCCTGGAAGAATACCTGGAATGAAAAGTTACGAGAATAAGAAGTTCTTACCATGCAGTACATCTAAAAGGCAGGTATACTTAGAGTATGCGGAATCATGTGAAGGGCTTTATGTCAAAGCATGTGCTGAAACAACATTGAACATGTTGTGGCGACACTACCTGCCTTATATTGAAAAAATGAAGCCTATGTCTGACTTGTGTGCCACTTGTAAAGAGATAAGTGGACTGATTATACGAAGTGCTAACATGCAATCAGATGAAAGGATAACTGAGGTAAGTCAGTGTTATAATAATACAAGTATTATTTAGAATTTTCAGGCAATGCAAAAGGCACTAGATCACAGAAGTCTTGTTAAAAAGGAAAGGGAGTACTATAAGGATGTATTGAAAGAGGCACAATTATTGTTAAAAGGGCTGTATACTGATGCAGGAAACAATTACAATCCCCCACTAACAAGACCACTTGCTATGTTAAATATTGTAGCACATTATAGCTTCGATTATGCTCAACAGGTAATAATTATGAAAGTGTATCTAGCTCACTTACTTTTTTAAAGGTTCACTATCCTTCAAGTCCACTACAAGCAGGTCCAATTTATTTTGTTACTCCCAGGAAATGTGGCATATTTGGTGTGTGCTGTGAAGCTATCCCTCAGCAGGTTAATTTCTTGATCGATGAATCATTCGACACTGGTAAAGGGGCAAATCCTGTCATAAGCATGGTACATTTTTATTTGAAGAATCATGGCCTCAACTCAGTCAGTATCCATTTCAATGCTGACAACTGCACAGGGCAAAATAAAAATAATACAGTTATTCAAGTAAGTATATTACATGCACAATAATGAATATTTTAAATGTAATTTTTATTTATTTTAGTACCTCTTATGGAGAGTCATGACAGGACTCAATGCGTCCATTTCAATATCTTTTCTGCCAGTTGGACACAAAATTTTCTCCTGACTGGTGCTTCGGACTATTAAAGCAAAAATTCCGTAAAGCAGAGGTGGACTCGTTGAATGACTTCATTCAAGTTGTAGAACAATCATCTGCTGTGAACAAAGCCCAACCAGTAGGAAGTAGCAATGGTGAACTCATTGTAGAAACACTTGACTGGTGTAGTTACTTTTATATTATTCAAGAAAATTAAAGGCATCAAAGGCTTTCAACATTTTGTTGTAAATGCAACCTCACCTGGTGTTGTTGCAGCCAGACAAGCTGTAGATGGCCCAGTCACACAATTCAATTTGCTGAAGGAGGACGCTCAAATAATGGAAGATGAACTACCTAATATATTACCACCAAAGGGTATGTCAACTGAAAGGAAATGGTACCATTACGAAAAGGTAAGACCGTTTTGCAGATACGAATGTAAGGATGTAACCTGCCCACTTCCTGATGCACCTCGACTAACAGGATCATCTCGACAATCAACTCCAGGTGTAGATGATCCACCAGACCTCGCAATGGAGATTGAAGTACCACATTCTCCAAGGCAATCTCTAGAACCACCTGCAACACAAAGAAAATGTGGTAATTGTGGTCAATTTGGTCATAATAGAAGAACTTGTCCATGTAATCAGTAAATGAATAACAGAAATGAGTTTGTGTAATGCACATACTATTGATCCCCTTTCAACAGGAGAGGAACTAGTTTGTCTACAACAAACAGACTATTGATCCCCTGAAACAGGAGTGGAAGTAGTTAGAATGCCAAATATTCAAACTATTGATCCCATAAAGGTGTGGAACTCGTTGGTAACGCTAAGACATACAAACTATGGATCCCCTTTTTTAAAACAAAGGTGTGGAACTAGTATGTGCGTGAGACGTCAACATAAACACAAACACTCATTTTTGTTTAAAACTTACTAACTCAAAAGAGAAGGCCCAAGAGAAAGTTAGTCACGAAGTTATCATGCAGGTGATTTGTGTTTATCTGTACAGGTGAGAGGACTGATGATAAAAATGTGTGGGAGGAGAATACCGAAATAGAAGTTATTGCATCATTCACAGCCAATCAAAAAACACCAAGTGTCACCTGTGACCTTTAGGATATAAAATAAGACACCTGAAACTATAAGTTCAAAATCAAAAAGTAATGGCTGCCCCAATAGAGGATGTCCTCATTGATGTCCATCCATCTGATGGTAAGTTGGGAATGTGTAACCCTATAGTGATAACTATAATGCCTTTTGTTTTTGGTAGATGAACTTTGTAAGTTGTTGGTACATGTATGTTTGTGTTGTACATTAAAAGCAAAAAATAATTGTATTTATAGCAGAAAAAAATGAAGTAAGGGTGAAGAGACGAAA